CTTCTATACAGCATGTCTCACTTTGAATGCCCCCCCCTCCTCTATATCTCAGCTTCTCAGCTATTATTCCTGTGATTCTTACCAAATTCAGACTGATATAAATAACTATCAGTTTGATCAGTTTTTCAGGGACAAACATAATTTTGGACAGTTCCGTGCGTTTTTATTGAAATTAAAAGGAGTATTTTTATTCATTATTCCAGATTTTTTGGGATTTTCTCTCCTCGTTTCTATAAAATAAAAATATGAATATTATATCAATATACGTGTAGTAAGGAAAAATCAGATGATTTGCCCCAAAATCTCACTGCATTTAAAAAATGATCCTATCAGAGAGTCTAAAAGAAAAATTCACTAGCTTGTCAGTGACAATTCATATTGAAAAAGGTTTGGAGAAGAGTTCTCAGTGACAATTGGTGACGTTGGTAATCAAATGAGTTACAAGATGATTTCATTAATTAATCTTGAAACATGCAAAGCTAAGTGAAAATTTGATATTTCTTCTATATACCTTTATTTCTCTTCTCCAAACCTTTTCCAATACAAATTGTCACTGACAAGCTAGTGAATTTTACTTTTAGGCTCTCTGATAGGAAAATTCTTCAGAAGCAGTGACATTTTGGGGCAAATCATCTAATTTTTCCTTACTACACATATATTGAAATAATATTCATATTTTTATTTTATAGAAAAAAAGGAGAGAAAATCCAATTAACCTACAGACAGTATTTGAGTATTTTTATGAAATTATATTTGGAATTTTTTACAGGAAAACTAACCTCATAATATTGTTCTTCATGGTTTTGAACCCCCATCTGTGATTTTTTATATAATTTCTCTGAAGGGCGTCAACAAAAAAACTATGTCTTGTTTTTTCTTTCAAACCATAATGTTCTACCTACCAGAGCTATCAAACGTTCTAATATTTGCAATTAATTTTAATTCATTATTTATAAATTAAAAAATAAAGCTGATCCTGGTAATTTGGAATGGGGTGAATTTTGGCATATGGGCATCATTAAGTTAGTTTTCCTGCAAAAAAATCCTAATAAGATTTCATATGAAATCAGCCTTTCTATTCCAATACAAACTCACGGCAGTGTCTATAATGATGTTTTGTCTCTGAAAAACTGATCATATTGATGATTATCCATACTAGTACAAATTTGGTAAGAATCATATGATTAATAGCTGAGATATAAAGGTGTGTTTAAAGTCAGACATGCTCTAAAGAGGTAAAGTGACACTTTTTATGACATGATAACAGTCCAGAAGTCATAAAGGACACAGAAAGTACTCTCTGAATGAAACATGCTATTTTTTCTACAACTATTCACGTCATATTTTCAAATGAAAACATTATGTCAAATGAATTTTTATTTCTCTGCCTCCCCTCATTGCTTAGTGGAGGAGAAATGAACAAATTGAGCAATACTAGCCTCCCCTCACTTGTTAGCAGAGGTGAACAGAACAAATTTGCCAATTCTATTCTTTTCGCTCTGCTCATGAATCTTGTTTGAAGAAAAATATATTTGGCAAAAATATATCAAGTTAGATAGGTAAGTAGGTATATTATCAAAATCAGTGAACAAACCTAACTTACTGAAGAATTCCAGCACATAATGAATTTGTAAGCAAATACTCACCATTACACCAAAAGTTCATTAGGTCAAGTGTACTTACCAGTTTGGGTTTTCGATACTTGATGACCACTAGGATTAACCAAAACCATTTGGAGGTAACTGTGAGAGCCTAGACTTTCCAAATAGCTTCAATGAAATTCTAACTGGCATCATGAATCAATCCAAGTTGGCTATATATATTTCACCTGATGTCTCTCCATTCCCTGATAAAACCACCTCCTGGTAGTAATGTTAGTGGTGGGGAAATGATGAAGACACTTGGGAGAGCTAAAACCCCAGAGAAAAAAAATTGTATTTGATCCACATTTAGAAGAAGGAATGCAAGAGATTGAAGAAGAATTTGGAAAAGTGGAAGAAGATTTTGCTTATTTTTGTGATGTTACAAAAAAAATCAAAAGTGAAAGATATGCATTCTTTCACTGCAAAAATAGTATCACTGGTGAAGGAAATGAAATTTTCAAGGGATTTATTAAAAATAAGAGTAGGGGGTTTTTAACTTATCCATCTGAAAGTGTCATTCACCTTTTGAGGGAAGTTGAAAAACCCGTTTCTACTGTGTTCAAAAGTGAACTCACTAGAAATGCTTCATCAGGAATATTGGAAAAGCTAAGTTTTTCACCATCTAATTTAATAGGTTGTCATGAACATAAGGATAGTTTCACTGTGAATATAATTAGAATATATGTCTTGTCAAGACCACTCAAGACTTAGAATATGTTGTTCAAAAGAACAAAAAAAGAGGAAAAGTGACAGCAAATAAAAATATTTTACAAAGATGGCAAAATTGCATTGATATTGTTCCAGATTCTTGAAAAAAAAAATATCAATCTTTCATTCAGAATTCAGATGAGTACTTTACTTTTTAGATTCTTCAGGCTTGTTTCTGTGAATAAAAAATAATCATTTCTGTGAATGAAAAATAATCGTTTTTGTACTTTACCCTGGGCTTTACCTTCAGATAGGCCAGGTATTTGCTAGTTAAGCTGTCTTCTGACTTGTGTATGAAGTGTTAAAACTTTTAAGCAAAATGAAATGGGTTTATAGATTTTTTCTCGGAATTTTTCTAAGCTTCATATTTTATAAACAAGTAAATCAATCTTCAAAAACAACTACAATGTATAGGAGATAAAAAATCCTATTCAATGAGGCACAACTCTACCCCTATTCCTATTAAAAAAAGGGATATAACCCCTCCACTCAGAGGATTGAAGGATTTGCTATGCTGTTTGCATCAAAAGTTGTCCCCCTAACAAACAAACTTGAGGTGTTTTTTGATTTCCTTGAGTGAGAAGTTCTTTCTCAGCCTGTAATAACTTGTGGTACATTTTGGATGGACCACCTGATATACTTATAAATTGATAAATTATTAATATACAGTGATCAACATGAAATTTGCATTGAAAATTGGCTCAGGTCTTAGATAATTTCAGCCCAAGTTTCGATAAATTATGTAGGTACTCAACTAACAGTTGTACCAGTTGTAGGTACCTGATAATATGTGGTATTATGTACTTGGTATCATTACTTCAATACCTAAAGTCCGATAATTCTTGATTGTATCACTTCAACCCACACTTCAGAAGATTTCGAGTATCTCAATGTGACTGTACACTTCTTCGTCACAACAATTTGAATTAGGCACAAAAAAGTCAACTACCACTTCCACAGTTCGTAGCAATTAAATAGTAGTAATAATAATAAAGGAGTTGAAAGGAAAATGTTAATACTTACCAAATAATGATGAGTACCTTCTACTTGCCGCCATGCTGATTATTTGGGCTTTTTGAACAGTTATGCACTATTTGTGTAGTCACTAATCACATTAATCACACAGCGAGAACAATTAATAATACTTTTACCGTTGTTTCATGTTTGTATCACTGATAATTTAAAAATATTCGAATTGAAAATCATCATCTTTATTTTTCTTATAAATTTAATTATTGACAAGAGACAATGACATTTGGAATCAGAGAATTTGCCAACCAGCGTTGCCATATCTTAAATTAATGTTTAGTCCGAATTCCATCCACTAAACTATTTTCGAATAATCATGAATCGACTGATATTTTGTGAGATTAGTTGATGCATCATTCATTAATTATGAATATGTATATCTATACATATATATTCTTTCTCATGTTTTTTGTGTGAAATAAAAAGTGTATTCATCCAATGTATGTACGCTGATTCATCCAAGATTTCATTATCATTTGAATTTGCATATTATTTTCTATGTGGGTTTCTGAAAGCTATCAAAGCGGTCTATTTACTCTTTTTATATTCGGTTTTTGGTTGCGCTCATGGCGCGTTGCATATAGCAGAGAGCTTGAATAAAACGGGCTAACTGTTCACATGGAAAAGTTGGTAATAATGGCAGTACGACTGCCAAGTTCAGTTGAATTTCGGGTATATCTCCTCTAGAAACAATTTTTTTACATTAATGCTAGTGTTTTTACCACTACTGTTTGCCAAAGTGTATGGTATGATGATAATATGGCAAGAATTTTTCATTTATTTTCTGAAAATTGATGTGGTTCTGTCAAACAGCGAACTTTTTTACGCGAGAAGTTTGCCTGGCACCGACTTTCTAGCTTTATGACCTTGGTTAGGTTAGTCATCGCCGCCAGGAGAGCCGACGTGTATTTTCCATTGAATCAAAGATACGATAGTGATTGAAGAATTGGGAATCGAGGTCGCTCTATTGCGAGGAGAAGGAAGTGATCTAATAAGAACAGAATGGCAGGGATATATATAAATAAACATGAAACTCCATTTACCTATCTCGAGATGTCAAAATTTGGTTACCTACTCCATCCTACTCATTGCCTACAATACCTAATTATTTTTAACGAACAGAAACTCTCAGATGTCAGAGATAATCGATGATATATAGAGTACCTATCATATATATTCAACATACTTAATATAGAGAAGGTATCAGAATTCAGTCCGAATCTCATGAACTGTGTATATAAAAAAATTTATCATGAATTCCAATATATACATATCAGAGATATTATTTTGCATGTATTTCAATCATTCCTCATTATGTGCACCACAATTGAACTAGATTATTTTTGATATGTTGGTATAACAATGACCAACTTACAGCCTGAAATCCAATGTGAATTTAGTGAATATATGAATAGAAATGATGAAAATAAGAGGGATCCACAATACCACTGATGTTAAAGCATGATACTGAATTTTTGAATTTTGAATTGAATTTCCTGAACATGAGTATAGAATGAAGAAAAAAACATTATTAATACATTCTCCTGACACAACTTGGGTTAAATTTCTGCATATTACTGATTCCTCGATGGACTTGAATTTTCTTATAGGAAGGGAATTTTTTCGCCTACTGGCAACGCAGCAATTCGCTCCATTCTGAAGTCAGAGATGGCGCCCCCCGTGACAGTTTGGCGAACTTACTCCTGTTGGTAGGAGACCTGGTTGGAATATTGTAATATCAAGTGGGCTGGTTGCCTATTTGATCGAGAGGTTTTGGGCACGCTTGAGGATAGGGACTTGACACACCAGTCAATTATAGCCACCTTAGTATTGTCACATTGTGTATCAAATTCAAAGATCGAATGTTTGATTGAATTGAAAATATTGAAATATGAAATATTTTATCAATTTATAACGATGGTTTTTTGAAAGGATAATCGAAAGATTCTTCTTTTGAAAAAGCAGATATAAAGATGTCTGTTGCTAGCAATATTGTGAATGAAAGTGGTAAGACCACTGCAAGAAAACCATTTTTCTTCTCCACCATGTTATTTTTCCAGGAGAACAATTCATTCCAGCTTCTCAAAGACCAGATGGCACTTGGAGAAAAGCCAGAAGAGTGAAAGAAGGCTATGTGCCACAAGAAGAAGTACCTTTGTATGAAAGCAAAGGAAAACAGTTTTTGAGCAAAAAAGATGAACCAATTGTATTACCCTCTGGAAAGACTGCTCTTAGACCCATTCCTGGACTGTTCATTGTTCAAGATGACACTGACAAAAAACCTACTAAAAAGAAGAACAAAAAGAGTAATTTCAACTTCCCAAATGGGTAGGGAATGTGATTTTTCATTATAACTTCTAATTTTATAGGGACCTCCATAGCATCTGAGAACATTGATATGATGTTGGAAAAAATCAAACTGGTTGAGTCACCAAGTGCAACTGACAAAAAAACAACTAAATCATCTGACATTAGCAAAAACATAGAAACAACAGATCCCCAGAAGAAGTTGAAGAATCTTAAGAAGCGATTGAGAGAAATAGAAACCTTAGAAGAAAAAATACAAAAAGGAGATATAGCTAAACCTGAACCAGAACAATTGGCAAAGGTTAAGAGAAAAAATGATTTGATTCTACAGATTTATGAGTTGGAAAAGCAGTTGCAATGAACTGTTAACCAAAAGTGTTCATATTATATTCTTTAAGGAGGAAAATATGTAATTGAATGATACAAGTTCATTGTTGATGTTCATACATGATGCTCATTGATATAATTCCCATACTTTTACTATGCTCATTTGCAGTTCCTTACATAATTTTTAAAATCTAATGATTTTTGCTAATAATTTGTGAATAGTTTCCTTAGAAAAATATATTGGCAATTCTATATATACCTACTTATACATTCAATTTTAATAGGTATCCACCCTTAAATATCTCACTCATGTAAAAGCATTCATTTTGCCATGTTCTATAGGCATTGCAAATATTTTTGAGGATACCTACATATCAAGACTAATATGTTCTCCGAAATGTCTAGATATAAAATAAATAGTAAAGGGTTTCAAGTTAAAAAATAAGTGTATTTAGAGGTAGAGGTATCCACGATAGTTTCTTGATATAATGAGTAGGTATACAAAAAAATCTGAACTTACAAATACACATTGATCATCATCACAGCAGTGCTGATATCACCTCCATCATTCTGATCTCAGTGGAAGATAATAGGTTATCACTTCCCCAACTTATATTTCCTCTGAATTAGTTGGTAGACAGTTAAGTTAAGTGCTTCACAATCATTTACATTGAAATAGAGGAAATTCATTCATAATTATTTCAATATATTTTTTCCACTTACCAGAAAGACTCGAAAAAATGGAGGAAAACCCGGATTTTCAGTTTAAATTTTAAATGTCTAGTCTTTGACGGAAAGAAGCGTGAAGAATTCTTCTTCTTCTTGAAGACGAGAATTTTTATATTCTTTTTTTTGAGAGACAACTAACTATTGAGGAACTTAGCCAAAGTGAACCGTAACCGTTCCCACTGTCGCAAGACTCGCAAGCAATGCGAAATAGGACAGGGCCGGCTTAAGAAAAATGTTATAATCGGCATGATACTGGGTGTGGGAAATTTCTCTGGTGATAGTTCTGGTTGATAGATCTATTAATTTGAGAATTGTTTTCGTTTTCCCGGATAGGATCCTATCACTAAAAGCATGGTCATCTTTATTTTGGTGAAATTTTGTTCGATTTCCCGGATAGGATCCTAAAGGCGAAACATGCTAAGGAGTACGCCCTCTGTCGTCCTGAATATACCTAACGTATGAGCCATGTAATACTTTGTCTAAGTTTGTTCAAATCAGTTTACATGTGTTCCATTTGAGAAGTTATTGAATAAATTTGTTTGAAAATATTCAACACGTTGAAAATATGTATAATACCGCCTGTAAACAAAAATAAACAATCCAGGAATGGCTTATAGAGTAGTACCAGTTTCGCCGTTCTGGCGCTGCGATCTTAATCTCAGTCGCCTATCACTATATAAAAGCATGGTCATCTTTATTATTTTGGTGAAATTTTATGTTGAATTATGGGTTTGATGCCCTATCAGAGATATTCATGGTGTGAGCCAGGTGCAAGGTGATTATAGGGGTATATATATCTACAATATGATTCAACATTTTTGTCTTTTTATGAAAAATGGACTATGTAGAAGGGGTGCTGTAGTTATGACAGGAGAAGTAGAGGTATATATGTATATACCTATATCTCTAGGTATTATATGGCTAAACTAAAGTTATAAAAAAACAGAAGTGCTTTTTCACGTATTTTATTTCACCTAAAAACTATATTTTCGATCCAATCTAGATATTTTGATACTCTCGTGTAGACACCAGGTACCCTCCCGCCACATCCTGCTCCATACGAGATTATCCCAACAATTGAGTAGGTTCCGGTTTTCTCCCGGATTTGTATAGGACCTCCTGAATCGCCCTGCAAATGAAATCGAATACAAGAATAACTAAAGGCAAGTACACACACTATATATGTACGCCATTGTATGCTACAATTTTGTTTCAAATTGAAGCAACTCAAAATACATATCTTTTTTGACTTCCTATAGTTTTTATCTGGCTGCGTTTCAGGAGTAACAAACAAAAACCAAACCTATGCATGTGAACACGATGAGAGAAAAACTGTAATAATCAAAATCTAGTTGCCCGTTTACCAAATTAATCATGTAACCATGGCGAAACTAGAACTAACGTACGTATATACCAATGACAATTCTGAAATTAATGAAAAATAGATTCTTTTGAGAAACTTGAGCACCCTCTGTATCACGGAAACGGGTTGTTTTCAGACATATGTTTGAAATAACTATTTTCCCAGATAGCACAGAACCGTCCCGAGAAAACGTCCTCAAGCCGTACACCTCGGACATTGGAAACGTCCCCAGAACGTCCATTTTAGGTACGGCGTACGTTTTCAGGACGTTTTGGGGACATACGATGTTACACAACCAGAGGTCCCCAGGACGTACGATGAAGGTCCTGTTCAGGTCTGAACGGGACCATCAATACCTGAATCAACGTAGATCCACCTTTTTTTACTCAGATAGTTGAAATAGAGACCTAGATAGGGTAAAAAAATATTATTTTGACTAAAAAAATAAAAAAAGTGCTCCTACCGGGGATCGATCCCACGACCTTCAGATTACCGTTTAGGTACTACTCTACAGAAGGCTTGATTATTTATGTCAGTATTTGTTTGTTCTAAAATTTGTTCTATCCGTCATTCGGTTGCCCCCTTACGAGCAACCCTCTTCTTCTTCTTCTTCTTCTTCGAAGCACTCTGGTGGGCGGGTGAACCCCCTGCACGTGGGCCTCCTTATTCGGGCCCATTGTGCGCCCACATGTTACAACATTCAGCTGGGTATGCCGACTGCCTTGGAGAAGTTCAGCAGCTTCCTCAGCTGAATCTCTTTTACGTCCTCTGGCCTCAAGATTATGTTGCCAAGGACAGCCCTCCTCTGATGCGTCAGTGCTGGACACTCAGTGAGGACATGTGATGACGTTTCGTCATCTTCCAGGCACCATCTGCAAAGGGGGTCATCCTTGATCCAAAGAAGCTCTAGGTGCCTATTGAGGTGGTTGTGCCCCGTTAGGAGCCCCACTACCATTTTAAGGTTTCGCCTGTTTAGGAATAAAACCTTTTTTGCGAGCCTCTTCGAAGGTTCCTTTATGTGGAGCTTCGATTGTCTCATTCCTGGTGTGTCCTTCCATATTTTGAGGAATTGCTTTTGCAGCTGTTCCACTATAGAGGACATTGCCAGGCTATTTGGTATTCCCAAGATTGGTTCCGGTCCGACCGGGGTCCGTCCTGAACCGATCTTTGCCAGTCTGTCTGCCTCCTCGTTTCCGGGTATTCCCGAATGTCCCGGAACCCACATGAGGCTGACTTTTCTTGATTTTGCCAGGTTTTCCAAGGCTTTTCTGCACTCGGACACCAAATTGGATGTGATCCTATTGTATTGCAAAGCCAGTATTGCAGCTTTGCTGTCCGAGCATATAGTGATTGGTCTATGACCTCTCATAATTAGGTTTTCTTGGACACAGGTGAGTATTGCAAGTACTTCTGCCTGGAACACTGAGGCATATTCGCCCACGAGCAACCCTCAAAAGTCTTCGAAAGTCTTGTGCGAGCAAGGAATGACGGGGGCCTTACCTTTTAACGTGTGATCCCAAAACACTTAATATAGTATACAACAAGACATTATGTGCGAATGTTGATTGATCCTTATTCAAATCGATACTTGCATAGAATTATTAGATGATCACGGCAGAAAATACCTAAATAGATGTTTTGTGATCAGGTACGGCCAGTAAAAAAGGATTGTGAGAAATGTATTATGTTCATGTTTGCAAGGTTCCTAAATGAATAGATATCAGAGATCGAGTGTAGAATAAATTATGTGCAATGATTTCAATTATCATTATATATACAGTTTTATTCAATTTCGTCCCTTGAAAGTCGATAAAGTCCAGAGTTGGACGTACCCAGTACATCGTAATCGTACGTACCCAGTGCGTCCAGAAATGGACGTTTTCAGTACGTCTTGAAAAGGTTCCGGACGTTCAGACCTGAATCGGGCCTAAACTGGTCGTCCTCAGGACGTCGAGTGCTATATGGGTTCTCCAAGTGGCATAGATGGTGGCTTTTCTATATGACAAAAATAGAGGTATCGAATGTGTACTTCCTCTGACTGGGCAGGAAAAGTTTGTTGCTATGCATCCCAAGTAATTTGAATGAAATTGATATCAAAATTGACACTGACATTTGACTATTTCTTATTTTGACCCAAAAAATACGACCTCCAAGTTTTGTGCGATATCAATGAAACGCCGTGTATATTTCATTGTTCATCTCCTGAATTCAGCACCAGAATAGAAAAAAAAACATACCCAACAAGCGTCACTTCTCTTTCCAGCTGCGCATAGCTGCGTTGACAAAATTGTCCTGCTTCCCAATGACCTCGTCACATACGTTGTATTGCACTGGTCGATTGGAACTCCAGAAAGTTTCGCCTTCTGAAGGAGAAGACTCCTGTCGTCCTCGTTACCTAAACAGTTAACGTAATGTTATTTTCTTTATGTTCTGGTTCCCACGAAAAGGAATACCCTGCAATGTTCAGAGAACATATCATGAGTACCAATAAGGAAAATCATATAGGAATTAGGGTTCTTCATGAATTTCTGAAGGTTATATGCCTCGGGGAACACCTTCCTTGGCGATGTGTTCCAGAGCCTCGCTGTTCGTTGGATGAACAAGTCTTTGGAAAGAGATGTTCTGCAGGTCTCCAAAGTGACCACGAAGGGGTGCGAAACCTCAACTCGACGGGTTAAACTCGCGGGGACTGTCAAGGGAGGAACAATTGTTGATATTTCAGAAGAGCATCGTCCATGAAAATATCTATAAAAAATAGCCAGATCGCCAACTTTTCTACGGTGTTCCAGAGAAGTGAGTGAGTTTGTGAGCGAGGCAACAGAGTATTCCAGGGCAGGTCGGATTTGTGCCTTATAGATCATAAATAAGCAGCTGACTGGAAGTGAAATAGCTCCTGGCCCGAAACAGAAAACCAAGTTTTTGGGATACACTTAAGCATCAAAATGGATGTCTTCGAAGGTATGTTTATTCCTTACAAAGTTATGATGTTGGGCACAGTAAGATCGGCTTTTCTAGAGAAAAGGCCACCGACCGATAGGTCCAAAAAAGTTTTTTGAAATCGGTCAGATAATAACAATTTTACAGGGGTGGTAAGTCCTCAAGGTGGACACACTGTATTTATTTCTGAGTCAACCGGTATATTTACCAATGGAGGTTTTTCCCCATCCGGTCACGATCAGTCCCAGAGGGTCGTCATTCCCCTGATAAAGGCAGGCCGGGTACACGCTGTCACTGAACGTCAAATTGTCTCTTAGCTCCACCAGCGCTATATCGTCGTGTTTGGACGTGGGGTCGTAGCTTGGGTGCGTGGTTATGTTCAGGATGTCCACGTCCTGCTCGAAAATAATAAGAAGAACAATAAAAAACAATGGAAACACTTAGTTTTATCAGATACTAGCTGACTCGACAAACGTTGTTTTGCTTCGTACGTTATTTCTAGAAAGTATTTTTTCAGTTACCTATTCCACTCTTGATCTCTAGAATCAATCAGAATCGGCCATTTTTACGGTTTCTTCTGTATAACAGCGATATTTTTTTGTTTACTAAATTTTATCGGACTTTTACCAATACAAATGCCGAATTGACCCACACGACGTGACCAACCTTCCTCGTTTTTCAGCGATATAATTTTAGACGTTTAGAACGTCAATTATGTTGGAAGCCAGAATGATGGATGCAGAGGGCGCAACTCTCGCGAGCCGCTATATATTTTTCCTGGAGATAGTCGTCAATTGACATACTCCAGCTTGCTGCTTTAATTTGGCTAATGATATTGTTCCAAAACTTCACGCGCCTATACGGCTCGAAAGTTTTGATAAAAAATGTCATTCGGCGAAATTATTATAGGCACCAGACTCTATCATAACAATCGCCGAATATTTCTGTCAAAATATAATATCACTTGTAGTACCTTTCACATATGATAAAATTTATTTCTTTTTCGAACACAGTCTATTCCACTTCTCTACTATAACCCCTGGAAATAGTATATTCTCTAAACTGTTGAAGTCCTGCTATGAAAAACCGACTGTGGATATGCTGCATAAGCTATATAGCTGGTATTTCATTGATTTATTCTTCAATATGATTGTTATAAATATTTATTATATAAATATTTCTGCCAAAACAGTATCACTTGTGGTATTTTCAAGATTTCATGATTGAAGATTTTTATTTTCACAAAAAAATACACATATGAATATTCAACAATTCACTCTTATCATTTTATTTTCTACTTTTGTTCAGTTTGACTAACCATAAAAGCTTGTTGTCTTAGTTTTTCAAACTACTATTTATTTTTTTCTTCTTTTCAGTTCGGTAATCTATCTCTTTGGTTTTCTAAACTACTATTTATTTTCTACTTCTTTTAAGTTTGGCCTATATCTATGAAAGCATGTTTTATTAGTTTTTCAAAACATTATTTAGTACAAACCTCGTTCGACATATTGAATCCGCCATCTTATATTTGATAATTATGACGAAGCATAATCTTCGACCCCAAAAATCACCTGAAACCAATTCTGAGTAGAATTGGATCATAATTACAAAACTCATACCCCATATTGGATCCGCCATCTTGAATTTTCCAATTTCGATATAAGTATCATAAAATCTTCGACCATGAAAATCCTTAGATACCAATTTTGAATAGAATCGAATCATATAATTACAAAAGTCGTTCGCCATATCGGATTCGCCATTTTGAATGAGAATCATAATCTCCGACCCCAAAAACCACCAGATACCAATTTTGAATAGAATCCGATCATAATTACAAAACTTGTACCCCTTATTGGATCCGCGATCTTGAATTTTCCAATTTTGATGAACGTATCATAAAATCTTTGACCATGAAAATCCTTAGATACCAATTTTGAATAGATCCGAATCATATAATTACAAAAGTCGTTCGCCATATCGGATTTGCCATCTTGAATTTTCAAATTTTGAGGGAGAATCATAATCTCCGACCCCAAAAACCACCAGATACCAATTTTGTATAGAATCCGATCATAATTACAAAACTTGTACCCCATATTGGATCCGCGATCTTAAATTTTCCAATTTTGATGAACGTATCATGAAATCTTCGACCATGAAAATCCTTAGATACCAATTCTGAGCAGAATCGAATCATATAATTACAAAAGTCGTTCGCCATATCGGATTCGCCATCTTGAATTTTCAAATTTTGAATGAGAATCATAATCTCCGACCCCAAAAACCACCAGATACCAATTTTGAATAGAATCCGATCATAATTACAAAACTTGTACCCCATATTGGATCCGCGATCTTGAATTTTCCAATTTTGATGAACGTATCATGAAATCTTCGACCATGAAAATCCTAAGATACCAATTTTGAATAGAATCGAATCATATAATTACAAAAGTCGTTCGCCATATCGGATTCGTCATCTTGAATTTTCAAATTTTGAGGGAGAATCATAATCCCCGACCCCAAAAACCACCAGATACCGATTTTGAATAGAATCGGAACATAATTACAAAACTCGTACGCCATATTGGATCCGCCATCTCGAATTTTCCAATTTTGACGACCGAATCATAATGTTTGGGGAAAGCGGATTTGTGCTCTGCGTATGCTCGTCAACCAACTTTCTCCAGCCGAACACGTGGTATGCGCGAGTACAAGCGTAAAAATTATATGAAAAACTACACAAACGCTAGGGTTTCTACAAAATTCTTAATCACACAACACGTTTCGCTAACACAGTATATAGTCTTCAGGTGAAATAAGTACTGGTATAATACTGATACAACGTTAATTTCATAGACAATATTCTTTCTAAAAACTCCGTGATGAAGCAATTCAAGCCGAGTCAATTTAAAAAAAGTCCTTTTATTTGTTGTTATAGGTCAGTGGATGTTTATCTATTCTCATGTAGTCTGAGGCATTCTGAGGCTAGGTATAGTGAATGCAACTAAATATCTCACCTGGGGGTTGGTCGCGTTCAACCACGTGACCCCGACCCTAGCCCTGGCCGGACGCACGCTCCTAGCGAAGCAATGGGCTGCGGTGAGCAGGAAGCGGTTCGAGATGACGGAAGCCCCGCAGTCCCAGCTCAACCCATCGTCCGTGTCGTAGCCCAGGGCTGCCTGAGGATAAAAACAACATCATAATACACTTCTCCAAGAAATTGAAACACCCACAAAAGTAGCCAAAAGTCTAGGGTATACTTTTTATTACCACTAGCTGTAGAACCTACCATTATTTACTCCTTTTCGAGGCGTGAAGTGTATTTTCACTACCAAGCTAGTTTTCGTCATTTTATCAACCACTAGTCAATGATAACATAGCCACCTATGTTTTAATAAACCTGAATTCACTGTTCTAATGCGATATTCGCAGAAATGATCGAGACTCGAATCTGGTACGCATTTTTCACCACTTGACATATGCTGTCATAGGCATGGCTATTATTTTGATTGGAATGGGGGAGACCACTGATTTTTTAAAACGACATTATCGTGTACTCTATACTAAGATACTACCAGCGAATTAATTTTGAATTTTGTCATTCATGTTAAGACGATGAAAACAATAAATTAGAATATATCCATTTCAAAGCACACAATTCTTGCCCCATTTGAAATTTTGTGAATTCATTGGTGTGACTGGTGCGACGTCTTAGTCCCAGCACGCCTATTGTCCTTGAACTGACCAATCACACTGCAATACTGCAGAATGACAAGGTATCAGAGAGAGATAGCTACAGGTTGGGAGTTGGGACTAATACGTCACGGCTCCACCATCATATTTGGCTGTTTGAAATATCGAATGAAATATGCTGATTTCAAAACGATATAGATTCGATTCCCTTCAACTTCAACTCATAATATTGATTGTACATCAAACGTAACTCATGATTCGTCGATTAAAAGAGGTTTGCACGGATTTCTTCTCTCAGTGGTCTTCCCCATTGAAGGGAGGTGCTTCCATAGTGACAATAGGCCCACATTTCAGTTTCACAGAACGATATAATGATTGTGGTGAAACAAATTTAATATAAGTACACCATGGTACTCATGGTAGTAAATAATATCATTATACCACGGGACCTTATACTCCTCGACTGAGGCCTCGGGAAATAATCTTGGTCCCTGGGTAATAATGATATTCTTTACTACCTTGATGTATAAACTATATTTCGTTAAAACTAATTGTCCGATTTGAACGTTTTTGTTTGAGATGATAGGTAATCCCCTTCTCGACATTGGTGTGATTTGTATTCGCATAAATTAGTAGATTGTTCCATTAGGATCAAAAGTGACACTTTGTTTGACAAGCGAATGTTGCATTTGCGAGGCGGAGCGCCTAGCGAAGCCGAATTCGACCAATAAGCAAACTTTGATTTTGTTGCCTGTAACCTCTACCTTTTTTTTATCGGTTGGAACGCACGCAAGGGAATCCCTATAATGTTCAAAGAACATCGTGCGTTCCTAGCGGAATAGGGATAGGAGGTAGGTATTGGATTTTTTTTGAAATTCTGGATACTATTTGTTGTTGTTGCAATGAATTCCAGAGCCTAGCCGATCTATGGATGAAGGAGTTTAGATAAAGTGCTGTTCGATATCTTTCGAGGTTGACAACGAAAGGATGTGCTGACTTTGCTTGTCTAGTTCGTCTGACTGGCATTGCTAGTGAAGGGATGATATCAGAGATTTCCGAAGAACATTTTCCGTAGAAGTATCGATAGAAAAGTGAAAGGTCACCGACCTTCCTACGGTGTTCCAATGATGTCAAAGAGTGAGTGAGTGTGGCGTCACCCACCAGGCGAATGGCTCTTCTCTGGATGGAATCTAAGAGCATCAGCGTATGTTTTGGTGCTGAACCCCATATGTGGGAACAGTATTCTGGAACAGGCCGTATCTGCGCTTTGTAGATCATGAGAAGCTGTTGAGGTGTAAAGTATCTTTTCGCACGGAACAAGAATCCGAGTTTTTGTGAAGCAGCTTTTGCGATGGATCTGACATGATTATGCCATGGAAAGAGTGTTGCTGATGGAAATACCGAGCATAGATTTGGTGGGCTTGGTGGGGATGGTAGTGCCAGACATTAAAATATCGGGCATACTGATGAGTTCCGCCATCCTAGAGAAAATATAGGCTTGAGTTTTGGTGGCGTTGAATTCAACTAGGTTGTTGGTTCCCCAGGCTGTGATATCAGCAAGGTCTTCATTGACAGCATTGACCTGCCTGCGCCGTGAGTTCTTAGTTTCCTGGGAAGAAATGAGAATTCTGGAAGAGAACGCAGTATGGAAGGTACTATCATCTGCAAAGCTGTGGATAGGGCAAGTTGTTACTCCCAACAGATCATTGATATGAAGAAGGAATAATGTTGGTGCCAAAATTGATCCTTGTGGAACGCCAGAATTGATGCCAATGGTATCAGACGATACACCGTCCACCACCACGTGAAGCGATCTGCCTGCCCCTTAGTTGGCTGGATTATATTCGTGAACAGAAGCGAAAGGTCTTTCACTAGAGTTGAAAATATACCGGGTATTTCATTTAAAAATACTGACTTTTTTATAATTTTGCGATTCGCATTTGTTCGTTTAGGGAGTGTCAAAAGATGAACTCCTACAACTTTTGTATTGAAAGTTATTTCCACCTGGTATAGTTGAAGCTGTAGGTATGGGTCGAAATATACGGAGCCAATAAAATAGTGGTAATAATAAAAGGCTTACTTTACCATGTGCGGAAATTCCTTTTCCACTGCATCTTCTCCGTCGATGATATGGAAAATGATTCCCACTCGCGTAGATTGATTGCCCAGGAAGTTGCAAGCTGAAATTGAACACAAAACGAGTGACCAGGATATCAATATACAGGGTGATTTACGTTGGCCACACATTAGAAGTTTTTCAACTTGCAATTGGATGCAAACTTGAATATGCTGTTATAGGTAATCGATTATTTCCAATATACCTGAAATATGTTCAGTCCTCCAACTATACAGGGTGTGCCAAAAGTCGGCGCCAACTTTCTTATTTCAAATAGAAACCTACATTTTTTTCATACAGTTCGATTGGCCTTCTGATTCTGGGTTTATGGACAACAGTTCTCGATTTTTCTGAAGATAATGACTGCCGAAGTAGTTTACGATAACATTAGTAACTTGCAAACCCTATACAAAATTAGAGCACCAAATTTGTTGAATAGTTAGTTAGCTGGAAATATAAGCACACTCCTGATATTTCATCGATGGTCCCATTTTGCACCATAGTACAGGGTGACTCAAAGTTGAACCGCTAAATATTCACCCAATTTCTCAAGTCGAATTAGGCCAATAAGCATCACATATATCCAATCTTGCTTCGTTTTCGTCAACTTTTTCAGAAAAAAAAACGGTTTTTTATTCATTACTCGAAATACTTTCCGCTGATTTTGATAAGACTTATCTTTTTATCTGTGGTAGCAAGTGAGGATCATTTGTTATACTTGGAATCGAATTATTGATTTCAGTGACGTCCCATCAGAGGGCATTCAAAATTATATTCATGCTGGAAATAATTGTATGCCACCGATTTCTTCAAGTTTACAGTATTTCAGATTGAGCTGTTGAAAATAAACCATTTTGTCTTGAGCCTATTTTGCTCCATTTCTGAGAAAAACCACTTGAAAATATTCAAAACCTTTAAATTTGTTCAAAATACGATAAAATTTAAAAAAATAAAGAAGTCGCTTTTCTTACAGCTCAATCCAAAATACGATCTAAACTTGCAAAGATGAGGTGTGTACCTACAATGATTTTCACCATGGATATAAATTTGATTGCCCTCTGTAACGCCACTGAAGTTATAGTAGGAGAGCCAACTGCAAATTTCGAGCGTCATCTGATGAAATGATATAAGTATGTTCCAAAGGCATGTAAAAACATCGAATTATATTGAACGGCACCTGTACCAATCACTATCCTCAGCAAAATATAAAACATTGTTTGGTTATTTGGGTTTTTTTATGTTCCCACGAAAAAGGATTTTCTGTAATGTTGAACGAGTCTTTGGAAAGATAAGTTCTGCAGGTCTCCAAAGTGAAAACATCGTTTATGAAAATATCTATAAAATAGAGTCAGATTGCCAACTTTTCTGCGGTGCTCCAGAGAAGTGAGAACGTTTGTGAGCGAGGCATCACCCACGAGACGAATTGCCCTTTTTTAGACAGAATCCTACAGTTTCAGGATATGTTTGGGTGCTGCACTCCAAATATGGGAACAGTATTCCAGGACAGTGTCACTTTTGGTCCTAATAAAACAATCTACTAATTTATATGCCTTTGGGACATCATTTGGTTATCAGATGATGGACGTTTGCAACCGGCTCGTGATGGACTTGATATACCTTGAAGAGATTTTCTTATTCCAACTCTACCCTCTCCAGCATCATTGTCATCGCCGTAGTCGTTGAACTCAATTCCGTTAAATCGTTCTTGTCCGCTCAGTGTCGGCGATTTGGTCTCCAAAGTGGGACAGCAAACGATCTCGACGACGTCCCTGAAACCGCACCTCTTGAGTTCGTGCTTGTGCCATTTTTTCAAGGATTCGATGGCTATAGGGCAATCGTACACCTCCTGGCATATGCCTGGGATCCCCGAATTTGTACATTTACTGCCTGCTGGAAAAGATTAGATAAATCGATTATAGTTTTCATTTTCATCTGCTCACTGAGCAAAGTAATATTTTATCAATATTGCAGCAATGTTTCAATGTGATATGTAATGTGTATTGTTGTTCTCTTACTGCAAGGTCACAGCATCAGTAATATTGAGAATGTCTTTAGAAAGGTCATCGCAAGATTGCAAATGAAGTACAGTAGATAACATGTCACCTCATAGCAATCTTGTAACTAGCTACACGGAGTGTTTCTCCCTAAGGGGATCCCTCTTAACAATGATATATGTAATGAAAATCATATGAGCATGTGGGTCTGAGAAATCTTCGTTTCTGAGATATAGCCCAGCGAGCACAAACATCCCTGGGTTGTTTTGGGATGTTTTGAAAATGTTGGCATGAAGATGTTATTTTGAGACGTAATATGCACTAACCAAAGAGGTCTTAGAAGGATATTGAAGTATTGTTTTTGTTCTTCTGTGGCATTTCTTTGTTTGCCTACCGAGAGGTATCCCTGGGATGTTTTGGGATGTTTTAGAAATGTAGGCATGAGGATATTTTTTTGAAACGTAATATGCACTTCCCAAAGAGGTCTTTGAAGGATATTGAAAGTATTGTTTTTGTTCTTTTGTGCCCTTTCTTTGTTTGCCCCACCACAACGTCTCATGCTTACGTCACAATACGATGAATTCTGATTTGTTTTCGATTTTGTTCTTCTTGTTCGCAATTGGCATTCGCGTTTGCAGCGTGTCACGCTTACATCACGCTGCTAACGAACAGAAATGAATTTGGTGAAGTTTATTGTGTTAGAAGACTTATTTAGTTTGTAATAATGACCATCAGACGCAAGATGTGTTGTTCGGTGCCTCAGTGTAATCAATATACAGAAGTACGAATTCATCAATACACAGCTTCTCCTCAGTTGCAAAATTACGCATTGTGGAGAACATTTCAAAAATTGGGAAACCTATTTCCAATTATATGTCTGTGTGAGACTGTGTGTAGTAAGCACTACTCAGAAACCGATTAAGAAGATGATTTCATATCAAGAAAATATTTTCATGTTCAATCTATTTTTAATGCATTTTTTCATTCAAGGGAAATGGAATCCTAATGCAAAAGTTCATTTTGGCAAAAGGCTTCAGAAAAGTACCTCGAAAATGGTTTTTTTACAGCGATTTAATGTGCGCAAGACGCGTTGTAAATGTTCTGTTGTGTCCATGAAAAGGACACAACAGAACAAAGACATCTCGATAATTGCCGCCCGCGGCGGACATTGGCTGTTCTATAATAGTTCTATTCATGTGTGAACAGAACATCGCAGTGGAGGTTCAATGTCTCGAAATCTCGTACTTTTAATATCTCTGAGATGTTTTTGTGCTCGCTGGGACTGCTGGGAGGGCGTCCAAGTTGAAAAAAAAATGAGTTTTTCGTTTTAAAAATAGTTATTCATGTACCAAAGATGAAAAATTGTATATTTTAGTCCAGTCTGCGAATCGATAGTAGACAGTTTTCGTCGAGGTGCATATTACATTTTTTCGTAGACATCACATACTTATATTCACACGTGAAATCTATCGGATTTCACAAATAATTACTTTGACAGCAAATGACAGTTGTTGTCAACTCACTTACCGTCCGGACCAGGGTTGTCAGTTCGATTTTCATTTCATCAGTAAATACCTTGTCGAAAATTAAGATTTATGCTAAACGAATTCCAAGAAAGGATAATGGAATGAACCTATGACGTCAAAACATTATTCACTTTTATTAAACAGTAAAAGTAACCTATTTCCAACAAAATAAGAACAGACAAAACAAACATTCTCATAAAAAAGGATCATATTCCTAATTCTCAATTTAAAAATACTCACAAATATCACAAAATACAGTGAAGGGTAATTACAAGATTCGAGTATATAAAAAACAGGAACGAATCGTTAGAAACGGACTGTTATAGAAGAGGTATATATAATAAATTGAATTTGATCAATCCGGTCAATCCGGAAGTGACATAAAACAACTCAATACGTCAAATATGGTATTACTATACTCACACACCGAATTTCATTTGTTTATATATAGAAGCAAACATGTTATAGAGATGAGCCACATTTGAGAAACTCACGGTATATAGGCGCCTTTTGACTTTTGCCAGACCAAATTTACAAATCTAAAATTGCGATTACCTTAATGGGCTTATATCACAAAAAAAATTATTTCATAATTCGATAGAACTCACCCAAACTAGCTCATCACCGCAAACCGTTTCTTGCTGTGAGCTCCCAACGTTTTATAAAAAATTATTGAAATCTCCGATTTTTCGGACCTCTGAAAATGAGGCGATGATGTGACGTCAAAAATGTGGTTGAAGTTAGCTTCAGATTTAAATCTGCGCTCTCGCCAATTTCCAGCGGACCAGATAAATAGTACCCGACATTTCATTTCTAATGGGAATACTGGTAATTTCATCGATATCATGGATACAGGGATTCATTCCGATGTGATGATGATTCTACATATGAGTTCACGAATTGAACTGTACATAAATAGTATATTATGTAACAAGTGTTATAAACGTCCTTTTAGTAACGAGTATTTTAAGCACGAGCGGAGCAGAGCGGAGCGAGTGTTTAATAAACGAGTGTCTAGAAGAGTTTATAAACGCGTTACATACTATGTACCAAAACATTCTCTTCGATTTCACTTTTGTCTACATTTCGCAATGTAATGAAGAATTCTGATGCAAACAAAAATTGTTTGGATAATAATTCTGATACAAAATTCGAAAATGACATTTGACAGTTCTTACAATTGACAAGCCGGACAGGACTCAAACGACTGAAGCTGCGTTTAAAGAACTGTGTTGCCATGCGTAATATCTTTAAGAAGTTATGTTGCCATGGTAACGCGTTTAATACTATGAATAAATCACAGATCGTCAATCCGTGATTAATCGATCATTTAGCGTGGTACATATTCGTACGCTAAATGCCATTTTAGTTATGTGAGTAGAAGAATATTGTTATGAGGAATCAATAACTTGAGGTCTGATATATAGGAATTACCCTTCGAGAAAATATCTAGAAAATCAATTATTAGTTGGTATGAGATTCCCTAAAACTGATAAAGACAGGATTTAGAAGCGCCAACGATCCTAACGGGGTGATGACAACCCCTCACTTGGCGTGATATGAAATATCAATTTCGGAAGAAATTGACGTTGTCGAGGAATTTCGAAGGTTCTATGATATCACTATTACACTACTCAATCATCTCCATACAGAGATTCAGATGCGCCAACGTTCCTAAAGGGATGACAACCCCTCACTCGAAGTTATAAGGAGATTCAAATTACGGAAAAATCTGACGTTGTCGGGGATTTTTGGAAGTTCTATATTATCTTTATCACATTACTCAACCATGTCCATACAGAGATTTAGATGCGCCGACGTACCTAACAGGGTGACAACCCCTCACTCCGAATGATATGAAATATCAATTACGGAAAAATCTGACGTTGTCGGGGATTTTTGATGGTTGTATGATATCACTATTACACTGCTTAATCATGTCCACACAGAGATTTAGATGCGCCAACGTTCCTAACAGGGTGACAATAACCCCTCACTCCGAATGATATGAAATATCAATTACGGAAAAATCTGACGTTGTCGGGGATTTATGAAGGTTCTATGATATCACTATTACACTGCTCAATCATGTCTACACAGAGATTTAGATGCGCCAACGTTCCTAACAGGGTGACAACCCCTCACTCCGAATGATATGAAATATCAATTACGGAAAAATTTGACGTTGTCGAGGATCACCCTGTTAGGAACGTTGGCGCATCTAAATCTCTGTGTAGACATGATTGAGCAGTGTGATAGTGATATCAAAGAACCTTGAAAAATCCTCGACAACGTCAGATTTTTCCGTAATTGATATTTCATATCATTCGGAGTGAGGGGTTGTCACCCTGTTAGGAACGTTGGCGCATCTAAATCTCTGTGTAGACATGATTAAGCAGTGTAATAGTGATATCATAGAACCTTCAAAAATCCCCGACAACGTCAGATTTTTCCGTAATTGTTACTCCATATCACTTCGAGTAAGGGGTTGTCACCCCTTTAGGAACGTTGGTGCATCTAAATCTCCGTATGGACATGCTTGAGTAGTGTAATAGTGATACCATACAACCATCAAAAATCATCGACAACGTCAGATTTTTCCGTAATTGATATTTCATATCATTCGGAGTGAGGGGTTGTCACCCTGTTAGGAACGTTGGCGCATCTAAATCTCTGTGTAGACATGATTAAGCAGTGTGATAGTGCTATCATAGAACCTTCAAAAATCCTCGACAACGTCAGATTTTTCCGTAATTGATATTTCATATCATTCGGAGTGAGGGGTTGTCACCCTGTTAGGAACGTTGGCGCATCTAAATCTCTGTGTAGACATGATTGAGCAGTGTGATAGTGTTACCATACAACCATCAAAAATCCCCGACAACGTCAGATTTTTCCGTAATTGATATTTCATATCATTCGGAGTGAGGGGTTATTGTCACCCTGTTAGGAACGTTGGCGCATCTAAATCTCTGTGTGGACATGATTAAGCAGTGTAATAGTGATATCATACAACCATCAAAAATCCCCGACAACGTCAGATTTTTCCGTAATTGATATTTCATATCATTCGGAGTGAGGGGTTGTCACCCTGTTAGGTACGTCGGCGCATCTAAATCTCTGTATGGACATGGTTGAGTAATGTGATAAAGATAATATAGAACTTCCAAAAATCCCCGACAACGTCAGATTTTTCCGTAATTTGAATCTCCTTATAACTTCGAGTGAGGGGTTGTCATCCCTTTAGGAACGTTGGCGCATCTGAATCTCTGTAT